TTGTATTGATATTGTAGGGAAAAATTCTGTCCTGGTCACTCATGGGAGGTAAAGGGTTAAGAATTTACATGTAGGTGTATACTGTGGAAGCAACCAATTGTTCAGGCTGCTTGCATTTATCTACATGACCTTTCATTTCTTTTTATTTCGTCAGTCCCATTTTATGACAGGCCTCCACACACAAGGTTTCCTTACTGCCTGTGATAAAGTTCCAGAACCATGGTTTGATTCAAGTAAAGATTTTTTGAGTATCAAGTCCATTTTATCCTCGTGTAATATTACCAAGGCTGACGTAGTTATAAAGCTGGTCATATTTTATGACAGGAAATCTTATTTGTGGCGAGGACCTATTCAAGGAATTACTGCAGCTACATTGTTCAAATATCCTGCAGCTCATACCAGGTAAGCAGATGTAGAAACTTACCGCAAGTGTGATGTGTAAGGTATATGAAAGGAGGGAAAGAATGTATTAAATATAAATTTAATTTTGAGTAAGAGTGTACCAAAGAGACCTTTAAATCCTGACCCAATGAAGACAAACTATTTGTATTTTTCTTGCAAGTAAAGACAAGATATTTTTAGTTTTTACGCCTTGTTCAATTAAAAAAAAGACCTGTTATTGTTGCAAGGCAGGGAGGGGAGTGCTGGTATTATGGAAATTTTGATTTTAAACCTTTAAAGAGACCGTTTGAAGAACAGTTTTATTTTTAGCCATGTCTATAAGATATAGAAAATTTTTCTTATTCTCTCTTTTGTTATCATCAGTATTTGTAAATATTCCGTAATTCAGCCTATGGCTGCAATGGTGGTTAATAAAGTATCTCTCTCTAAATCCTGACTTAGTTATAAACTATTTGCATTTTTTTCCCCTGGTGAAGACAATAAATTTTTAGTTTTATGCTTGTTCAATATATTGAAAGAATTAGAAAACTGTAATTTTTTTCTTGGAGGGGAGGGGAGAATTATGGAAATTTTGAGTGGAGACCTATAAATCCAGACCCAGTTAAGGCAAACTATTTGAATGTATTTTTCTCCCTGGTGAAGACAAGATATTTTTTTTATACCTTGTTCAATACATTAAAAAAAGTATTATTTTTGCCAGGAGGGGAGGGGAGGGGAGTATTTAGAAAATTTAAGAAGGAGCATGTTACCAAGACCTTTAAATCCTGACCAATTGAAGAAAAAAATTCTTTATTTTTCTACCTTGTTCCTGACAAAAAACTGTTATTGGTTATGTTGTAAGTATCAACCTTATCCACATTCACATCGCAAGTGATATAACAAAGTACATATATAACTAACCCAACACCAAACAAAGGCTGGTAATTTCTCTAATCACCAAAAAAATGACATTTTTATGTTAGCTACCATTCTTCTGACATTATTTAATTGCAAGTATAGCATTTCCATACAATCACATTAATAGTATTCCCTTTAACTTTAACACCTCTAATTTATGTTTGAAAGGTTCCCCATTGAGGAAAAAGTTATCGATGGAATACCCATCAGTATTCCTGCTGATCTAAAGAAGCTAACCTCAGAGACTAGCCAGTCGCAATTTACAGGTTGTAATCTCAGTAATGCTCAAGCATATTACGGCAAATATGGAAGAGATGTTTCCCAAGATGCAGTCCTTTTTAAAAAGAAAGCATTAGAAGTTTTGTCCACAGCCATCAATACTCTGGATCACCTGGGTGTTAGATTTTGGCTTAGCAGTGGAACATGTTTAGGTAAGAAAAGTCATGGGAGATTTAACGAAACCAAGATGAGTTCAACTGCAAAGATTTTCAGACCCATTCAATTATAGTCTTAAAACTATTTTTTTAACTTGCTCCCTTTTTTTTACTCCCTCCCATTCCCCTGCCTTTCCTTCAATTTTCTACACGTATCATTCTCTGACATTTATTCCTTTAGTAGTCTTCCCTTCTTTGTCTTGTTTGTTACTTTTGTAGCCTATGTATTAACCCTTAAACTCTCAAGATCTCATTAGTAATTCTCCTTACTGTCTGCTAAATGATTCCTATTAGGTTAGTTTGGAGAATTTGGTATCAGATCAATTAGCAAACCCATAATTTATATTTTTCTTTATTCTTATCACTTGTCTGTGTGATATAGTAAGGAGAAATTCTGTCTTGGTCACTCATGGGAGTTAAGGGTTAACTAATTCAAACAATTATATACAGTCTGTCGACAAATTCTGAGGCTTTTCCAGCCTTTTCAAAAAAAATTGCTCAAGAAGAAAGTTCTTTGTGAATTTTTGAAGCAGCTATTGTTTGGATCCATCCAAACTTTTTTCAGAATAATTTCTGGTGCCGTTCAGCACATTTTGTTCTTTCAGCATGTGTAGGTTAATTCTTCTCTTATGACCTGTTAAGGACTTTGTCTTTTTGTATTCCAACTTATGTACTGTTAAGAACTTTGTCTTTTTGTATTCCAACTAATGTTTTATAACATGTCAATAAAGGGATTGTCTCAATGTTTTTTAAAATATTTGTATTCTCTTCTCACAAATCTTAAGGTTGGTTCAGGCAGTGTGATATTATTCCCCATAGTAAAGATGTTGACCTTGGTATTTGGATCAAGGACTATAATTCACTTCTTATAGCTGAATTTGAAAAAAGTGGACTGCTTTTAAAACACAGATTCGGCCGGGTAAGCTTTACTTTAGTTTAATCTTCTCAAGGGTTCACATGAAACAAACAAGATTTTCTAGTTTACAAAACATGTTTCGACATTACTCATTTTGTCTTTAGTGGCAAAATAATGCTTGTTTTTACGTGTTACAATTTGAATTCATCTTTACAAATGTGTTCTTGAATTACGCTTAAGAAGCAGAGATTTTTATTTACCTCATTATTTTATGAGATAAAGGTGCTCTGGATTTCCAGGCTAGTGTAATGCCCGAAGCGCTGTTGGTAAACCGTATTTTTATACAACATAGACTTCAATTTTTTTTAACTTACCCATTCTTCCTCTGTTCTGTTTAGATAGACGATAGCTTTGAGTTATCCTTTAGAACAGAAGAGGATTATGTGAAGTTAGATATTTTCTTTTTCTACGAAGAAAAGGAATACATGTGGAATGGTGGAACACAGGCTAAAACGGGGAAAAAATTCAAGTAAGTTATCAGTAAGATGGCTACCAAATCCACTTTGTAAATACGAAGTCTGGTTTATTTGCCCGCGGTGGATAAATTTTTGCCAGCCTAATTTGAGCCCTGAAATTTTATGAGTTTTCAGGTTTGATAGCCGATAGTTTTAGTTTTGGGAAGAAATTGAAGGGAAGAATAATTTTAAATAAGGATCAATAAAGATGAAGTTTTAAAAAATGTAGCACAAAGCAAAACGCGCTTACTTGGTGCCTTGAACTGCAACAACATTGACGGAAATTCTGATGGAAACAACGGATTTAGATTTAGGACAAGGTGAATTTGAGCAGAGCTTTTTTTCTTAGGCATATTTTCAGTATAAAACTATGGGTTTTCATGTGAGTATTGCAAGCAGGGATGATAAAATAAGCTTACCTTTGAAAATGAAAGTTTCCATGGCTTCCCAGGAAGCGAGTGATTGTTTCTCGTTTTCCCGCGCTTGGTGCAGGTTGCAAATTTTTTTCGCGCTCTGCTACTTCTGAGCGACATTTCGCATTTGCAAATATGAAATGTGGCTTTGACATAAAGGAGACGTTAGGGAAAATATCTACACCAAAGCAACTACAACAGGTATTCCGTTGAATAATATTCACCTCGCAAATAATTGGTATATAACAGGCAGACGTGAAAAGTAATTTATTTATATCTTTTTACTTCATTTGGCCCACAGGTACATCTTTCCAAAATTTACTCTTTGTTGGACAGAGTTTCTCCTAATGAAGGTGCGAATTCCTTGTGAAACAGAATCTTATATCATGGCAAACTACGGCAGGAATTGGCAGATTCCAATCAAAGAATGGAACTGGAAGGAAAGCCCGCCGAATGTGCGAGAGAATGGTCAGTGGGACGAGAAGGACTGGGATGAAGTAATTCAACTGTTTTGAGACGTCGATGGGGAAATATTTATGAGTCACTTTTTGTATTTCCGTCGATAATTTATAATAAAAAAAAACACAACATCTGATTGTTTTAAATGGAGCTGCATGATCATTGGATCAAAACCACTAGTTCTCCATGAAAAGAAATTGGTTTGGTCGTAGTTAGGGTCCTTCATTTTCCCTTGCAAAAATAAATTTTAGTAAAAATTAAGAACACATATAGAACAAAACGAAACAGAAAAAGACAGCAAACTAAAAAAGGAAAAGTATTACACACAAAACCAAAGTGAAAACAAACACACATAACACAACTGAAACAATAATGTCATTACTTGTTATCAATGTTTACCCAAATTGCTGAGATACTGTTGGTATGCTCATAAGATGAAAGTACACCAACAACTCTCATTCTTCAGAAAGGCTGATGTAAGGAACCTCACTTTATAAACTATACACTGTATACGGAAATCACATTTACCTCAAATATTCAATCATATGTCGAAAGTGCGAGAGATATCTCATAAGATCGCTTTGGTTTTGAATTGGTAGGCTCTGTGATTGGTTCAGAATTTCGCGCCACACTCGCATTCATTTAGAGGCCGATCGTGCACCAAACGTGACACCACTTGTGTTCTACGGCACACGAAGCTATTATGTGACCATCCTCTGCTTACTTTCCTTCTTATTGGCTCTTACATTGACTGCCTTTTTTGACTTTATGACAGTCAGAGTCACCGTTTGCACCCTAACATCAATATGCAGACTCTCTCTACTGTTCTCAATGCATTTTCCAAGGTGCAGACCAGGAGAATTTGATTAACAATCAGTAGCTCTTTCAGTAATTATGTTCTCTTATTCTCACAACCTTTTAAAATGTGTGGGTGACATTTTGGGAGAAATTAGATGCTAGTCACTCGTAGGGGTTGAAAGGTTAAGATCGCTCCTGATAAAACAAAGAAACACGCGAAAAAAAATAATATATTGGATTCTTCTTTTATTCTTACTATTAATTAAAAGTAAAAGGTAAACCAGCTACGAAATGATGGCGACAAGAATTTCGTATAAATATACTCTTTCAACATTGCATTCAGTGGTAACCTTTGCACCTTCGATAACCTGCTGAGATCCTTTACGCATGGTTCGTTTCGTAAGGATTTCTAATTTCAATTTTTCTATTTCAATCGAGAAACCTGCAGTCAAACCTAGATAGTACTTGAATCTTGATCGCGTCAAAGTTCCAAAAGTGTAAATCCCTGCGGAACCAACTTTCACGAAGGCTGACAGCCACCAACCGCTAACGAATAAAAAATGATTTTCAGTTGTAAATAAAGTTATGATAATGAGGGAGACTTAAGCTAGTAAAAGATTTAGAAATATCAATCACCAAGGTAAAATTAAAACTCCTGCCGGGCCTGCAAGGAGAATCATGATAGAAAATGGTGTAACTAAGGCGTGGGAAAGTGAAGGAGAGAGGCATTGACGTTATGTACCTCTCTCTTCCTAACTCCCATATGAAAATGATAGTATTTCATGGTGCAAATAAGTAATGATAATGACTCAAATTCTACTAAGACACAGCCAGAACACGACTTCCCTCGTTGTAACATTATGCCTATGCCTCTTCACTGTTAGATAAGTGTTCGATTCCGTCCGTTGTCCCCAGATAAAAAGGAGTCTTGTGGCTGCACTTACAAAATCTTCAAGAGTGTGTAAGTTTCTGACTCACTTACTTATCAGTAACACTCACACATAACGCAAACTAGTTTGACTACGCATATGCAAAAAAATCTGAAAAAAGTTTATTTCCGAAGAAACACATATTTTTTTTGTCCCTGTTTAATTTAGCGAGCAAGACGTGCTGTAAATCTGTAATTTTATATCTCTTTGAGGAACATTGTCGGAGGAACATCAAATTAGCTCAATAATGTTCATAGAGAAAAACAAGTAATGTTTTCATTTTAAATACTAAATTTTTTGCGCTTTTGTAAACTTCCTATGTTAAATAAAATATGATATGTTTTTGTAGTTCAAGTTAACATCGTACCCAGTTTCTACTTTTCACACAGGCACCCCACTTTCCCTAAATAGAGAGAGATCTGGGTGCGACATGTTAGAATTCATCCGTGATACGTCACATTTCGCCAAATACTTCTTTTAAATCGTCAAGGTACCCCTTCAAAGTTTTGATAATGTAACCGTTCTTATTCTCCTCCAGAAACCTCCGAATAAACGGGACTTCGTCTTGCTGACCCTCGACAAATTTTTCAAAGAACATTTTATTAATGGCAGTCATTTTCTGGCGTTTGAGTATAGTGTTGTTCTCCGTTATCCAATTGAGAGGCTGCTGATCACCGAAGACTTTGTCGTAACTCAGTACGACGTCTTTCTCCACGCGTAAAAGCTCGATGATTCGACCAATGATTACGCCCGAGGGAAGCAGGTCGAGCACGGGATCTGTCGACACTGGCTTCCCGTTTGAATCCCGCACCAGTCTCCGTGCGATCTCAAAGAGTAGCATAAAGTGGAGTTCGTTCATGGGACTAACCGCATTAAATAACGCAGACTTCATGCCTTTGGTATTCAGTTTATGCGTCATATCACCAAGCCCTTTGCTTGTCACGCCACTCTTAGCCAGTAACGCGCACATTTCATGGTAAGAGTAATACTTCAATCTGCCTACGACTTTAATCAGCCCATGTCCAGGATAGAGTGCTGTGGGCATGAGCTCCACCTTAAACTTTTTATCAGCCGCAAACTTGAAGTAGTAAGGACCACTGTCTATTTCACGGTACTCCATGATGATCGTGCGAAGAAGATTTACAATGGCTGCTCCACTCATTCCCATAATTGCAAAGGTGTACTTGTTGGTGCTTTCCTCCAGAAAGTTGGACAGGTCAAGTTGCTTGGCATTTTTCACAAAGAACAGTTCGTTCGCTTCACTTTGACGTTTTATCTCCTCTTTCATAGCCTTAGTCTTGTCCTTCCAACCTTCCATCCCCCATTCCAACTTCACTACGTCTTTTGCCTCGCCCATCAGTGTTTAATTATCTCAACCTGGAAGAGATCATGAAAAAAAATTATTAAATACAATAACTCCACAAGTAAGCGGCCGGGTTGCTCAGCAAGATTCAAAATGGCGGCGTCCATTTTCGAATTCTCAGCAATTTGAAACCTATCATTGTAGACGTGATAGGCCACTCTCAGGAATCTCAAAACTAGGTCAATGCCATAATTGCGCATACTCTTATTTAATTGCAGAGATAAAAATGGTATGGTATCTGGAGCTTGCATCTCTTCCAATGCTACAGGCATTCTGATTGGTGTTTACCAAGACCGACTAACGAAAACGCGTTGTGGGCATTTTCATCTTGTTTTGCTCTTTTCTTTTGAGAATTGACAAAGTTGTGGTCCAAAATTTAAGTTTGAAAGCCATTTTAGAGTTGAAGAGGCGGAGTATTTTAATGAGGGTTGTGATCTATGGCAGAGATGCCAACCTCTGGAGATCTCAAATCTGAAGATTTTTTTTCGGACCAGCACCCCCCCCTCCCCGACCGAATTCGCCAATGTGACCACCCCCTAGAAATTTCTTTCTTGATTTGGACCCCTTACCCCCCCTCTCCTCTACCGATCGATTTCGCGGGAAAAACTTGGATCTATCTGTCAGGGACTTCAGTTGGTTAAATACTCATCCAATCAGACTTGCTTATATAGGAGTAACAAAGAAGAAACTCTCTTCTTTTTGTTTGCAACGAACAACGTGCATCACGCAAGAAAATGAGGCCAGAAACCGTAATACAAGCATAAGAATCCAGATCATTTTTTTAATTTTGGAACATATGGAGCTCAAATCTTAGTTTTTTGTGGGCAACTGATCCAATCTTACTTTTATCCGGGAGTTTTGGTCACCCGTACGGGAGAGCGGGAGATTGGCTCTGTATCCGGAAGACTCCCGGATAATCCGGGAGAGTTGGCATATATGCTATGGTAAATCGCGCCAAACACGTTTCTTCTCAATTTCACTTGCACACAGAAACCTCTTTCCCATTCTAACGGCATCCAGTATGTCTGTGCTTTATTTGTAACTATGTATACGAAAGCACTTAGCCAAGCCAAGAGACTATTATATTATCTTTACCTAGCACAATATTGATGAAATAACTTGTGAAACGACGAAGAGACTGATTATTTTTCCAAATCAATTTTTATGCTACGTTAGCGAAATTTTATGCCTGGAACCCCTCCATCCCACCAACTCACCGAAATGAATCCTCGTGTGGAAGAACCCTTACCCCTACCCCTACCCCTACCTCTCTTCTACGCCTAATACGGCGAGAAAGTTAATGACCTTTTCATGAATAACCTCTTGACTGAAGTAGATTCAAATCGAACATCTAGTAACTATTGTCGCAAATTAATTATTCATTTAAATTTTCATTTTCGTAAGTAATAAGTCCGCCAGGATTTCAACCAAAATTACGCATTAGTGATTACTTGTGCTTCTTTTGCACACATGAATTTTCTATCGACCAATCGTGTTATTTCAGATAATTGTAATAAAACACATATCAAGATACTTACTAAACAGACAAAGTCCATTCACGTTGATAGTTTTGTCTACGGTGATGCGCACGCGCATAAATGTTGGAGGATTTTATTGGGATCACGTGGTTTTCAGGGGGAACGGAATGGGAGTCAGTCGTCACTAACAGAGTATAAAGGTGAGACTGACGAAAATTGACAGCCCTGATTAAATGCCAGTGGAAGGG